GAATGAGAATGATTCCGATTAATTCAAAATATGCTTATGTGCACCAGATCAGTAGTGAGACTGCCGCGATCTGACACAGGTCAGCCGCTTCCAGGCGAACTTGTTTTCCAAGAGGACTACTGTAATATAATACATCCAAATAAACATGAAAAAACAAGAAAGGGTCAACCCAAAGGCGAGTATTTACGGTTGTGACAGGTTACGTCCCATTGCAACTGCAGCCGGGTTAAATAAGCCATCATAAGATTGGCACCGTACTTCAAGCCCATGCTAGATTCTGGGACCATTTTCGTCTTCAAGAAACATTTCAACATTGGTGTCATGGCTCAGAAAGATATAGCTTTTTGGGGGAAACTGTTATCTTTTATACTCTTGCATAACTCCCTCTTCTAGCGTCGAGCCACCATGTTAAACAGTCTGAGTTCACGTGTTTCCAAGCTGTCTGAGAAGCAAGCCATCTGAACGCCGTCGTCCACCTTGAATCTGTATCAAATATCACAATCTCTTTCTGGAGAAAACGAATATGTTACCAGCGTATATAATATAAAAATATGTGCAGGGCAGTGTTGAAGGAAATGCAAATTCTGTTCAAAGCGACCTAGAAAACCTCCATTCCAGAACGCTGCTCTCGGCTTGAACATTAATAAAATGTGCCTACAACAACCTCCGAAGGGCAGCCACACAGCCAAATTAGTACCGGGTTGGATTGATGGCTCGACTCTCAAAGTACCAAATCTTTTGCTTGCGAAGACAGTCTCAACAGAATCTGGTGCTGGTGTCACTTCCTAAACTAGTGAGCACACCGGTGAATTGCTGAAGCTTAGATTTTAGAAAGTGTCGTGTAAGCTGAAACGATATTCAACATTGTCCAGTTAGCAATGCTGACTTCATTAAAGAAGAGTGCTTCTAGCCCAGGCTCACGTGCCTTCACAATTAAAGTACTCCATATATATCATTTGAAGATACCGGAATAAACTAGGACATTTCGATGAGGATGAAAGGGATTATATCAACACCTATGGTCGTCAGTTTTATCAATCTATAGCAGAAGAAAACGCAAAATCGGCTCAACGAGATCACCGTGCTGGTGCTGCACATAATGGATAATGGGTCCACTCCGAAACCCATGAGTTCTCCTTCTTCATCCAATTTCTTGTCCTGTACCTGCAGACTTTTTTTCTTGATCGTAGAACTATTACTAGGATCCTACCTTGCTTTCTACAATTCTTTCGAAGTAATGCGTTGTGGTGCAGTGGCAGACGTCGCGCTCATGGTGCGCTGGACTATATGGTTC